AGAGTCTTGCATTCATGCCTGGGCCTCTCTGAACCACAATCCTCCTATTTATGTTTTCTGCCTAAAAGGAATAACAGGTGTGTGCGACGGTGCCAGGTTCTTGAGATGATCTCAAGAACCTTTTGCCCAAGCTGGCCTCCAGCTGTGATCTTTACATTTCTGCCTCCTAAGTAGCTAGGATTATCCGTATGAGACACCACAACCAGCTGTACACGGTCCCTTTTAATCCCAGCTCAGTAACCCACAGGACTTTCCTGGAGGCCTCCATCACCACTTCCCTCCTAAGCTATACGGTAAGGGTCATTCCCCTTTGTTTTCTCCACACATCCCGTCCCCAACAGATAGTCACCAACCACATCGCTCTGAGTTCTCAAGCTAGTATGAGGCGCCAATCCTGAAGGAAACTGAAATCACCTGGAGAAATCAGAAACAGACGGGCACGAAGCTTGGCGGATTCTGAAATGACTCCAAGTGTACGCATTGCCTCTTGCAGCAGAGAACAGGTGCGGGATTTCCCCAGGCCCCAACCCAAACCCAGCCAGGGAAGGCCAGCCCTGCCCCTGCTGCTCCTTCTAGAGAACCTCCTGTGGCTAGAGCTCTACACAGTGCCTACGAGCCAGGCCACACCCTACCCTACCTGCTGAGCCTATGCTCAGATGGGAAAAGAGCGTCTTCCACGCGTCTCAGGCAGCTAGAGCCTGATGGGCCAGGACAGAGGTGTCTTCCACTGGGAGGTTCAGGGGAGAGGAACACCGTGGCGTTGCGCAGGGAAGCCGCAGGGAGCACGGAGACACAGTCCCTGGGGGACGAGGCTCCAGACCCTCTGAGATGTCAGTCAGGTGCAGAATCCTCTTCCCATTAAGACAGAATTCATTCCATCTGGGAATCGACTGGAGGTCCTTCAAGCCTCAACTCCCCATGGAGGCCCCCTAGAAGAGTGAAGAGTGACAGGAAGCCACAGAGTGTTCCTCTGTGGCAGCCCAGGGGTGCCCTCAGACTCCCACGGGGGACCCCGAGCAGCACGCATTCACTGCAGAGGTGTTCATAACGCAAGAAGAGGAGGGATTCCAGTACCAATTAACAAGAGGGTGTCCAAGTAAAATAAGCTGTGCTATTCACTGATGGCGTGTGCAATCATGGAAATGAGAAATAGGAAGATGTCATCAATGGGCAAACTTCTGTCTCAGGAGTTTGAACAGATGGAGCCAAGAGCCAATGGCATGAGTGTGAATGGCCGCGGTGAGCACAGCACACAGCCACGCGGGAACTCGACACAGATAGCTGTGTTGACATCGTGTCAACTGGGTCATTTCTCTTTTTCAGAATTTTTCCCATAAAGTAGAGGGATAATAGCCTTTGTAGAAACAAATTAAAGTTCAGTGACACAGGGGATTTTTCTTTAATATTGATGGATAAAATGTCTGTTGTCCTAAGACAGATGTAAATGTATGTCTAGCACGGATACACGTCAAAGAATCAGCAAAATGTCTCCAAATTGTGACCAATGAACTGACATTATTTTCTTTGTGATGTTATTTTTTCTAAACATTCTACAAAGAATGTCTTTATTGAGATTTATAAGATGATAAATAGATGACAGACCAACCAAGAAAGTTGGATAGATAGATGTGTGTAGAGGAGGGACAATGGATGGAGAAAGGAGGCAAGAAGGAAGGTCGATAGTCGTGAGGGTCTCCGTGGGGAAATATGGACACATGGGAAAGGAGAGTGTTTTCAGAAGCCAGCAGGCCTCCTTGTAGTAAGATACACTGGGGGAGGGAGTATGAGAAGCTTCTGGAATGAAGAAGGTCAGCCACCGGGACCCTCCCGTGCGGGGACAGGGAGTGTGGTAGCCCAGGGTTGTACTATTGGGAAGGGGCACTCTGAAAGGACACAGTTTATAAAACAGGGACATAGGATCAGGCTGCTCCAAACCATGCACAGGTGCGGGCCAGAGCAGGCAGTTTGTCAGCCCCAAGTGAGGGGACCTGCCCTGAGGCGCACGGCTGGCAGGCTGCCTGCCGAGGGGGAGGGATCGGCAGTTGAGTGACGTGGGAACATCGCACTGCCTGCCGTGGGACAGTGCCCTGGGCCTGCAAACAGTGGGGATCCTGAGAGAGCCAGGCTGTTGCACTGAGCACCCTCCTGCCTGCCTTCTGCCCTCCTTCAGGCAGAGACAAGGCTGTCCTACCCCCACAGCCCCGCCCCCTCCGCCCGCGTGTCCTGGAATGAGACACACCCACTTGGCAATGTCAAGGGACACATCCTGGACAGACCCTTCCAGTCCTGCATTCGGGGCAGCCCCCCCGCCCCCCGCTCTGCCCCCTCGGCCCGCTGCAGTGGAGGCTCCGAGCAGCAAGACCTTCACCTCCTCCAAACCCACACTACCATCTTCCAGCTCTCCCTCCTCCCTGGCTGAGTCTGGCATCAACGGAACAGTGGATGATTTCATGCCATGGTAAAATGCTGGGAGGGGGGAAAGCCCCATGCCTCCAGCTGTGGGACTGTTTGGTTCAAACACTGCCAACAAACACGGCTGATGGGTGCCGGAACCCAGCTTCCCCGTGCACACGGCCACCCTGAGCCAGCTCCCGTCCCAGCCTGGGGTCCCCGGCCACCCTGAGCCAGCTCCCGTCCCAGCCTGGGGTCCCCGGCTGTGCAGTGGGCTGGGTGGGAGGATGCCGGGCGCCTCCTGTGGTGGCGGTGGATGAGAAACGGCCCATAAAACTTCCTGTGATGCTCCCTGCACTTACACAGTCCTATAAAGTCCTGTCTGGAGCTTAGGATAAAATGGAAGGATGAACAGAGGCCCATTGGGCGCTCCCAAGACCCACTCCTTGACTCAAACAAGTCACAACTGCTTCACTGTGGAGAGGGGCCAGACAGAAGTGGCCTGCGTGGGACTGAGTAATCGTAGGTTGTTCCAACCCTCTTTGGCTGGGAGCATCATCCGAGCCTCTCAGATGTCCCAGGCTCTGGTGAACACGCCATGCGCTGTGCCTTCTCCACAGTGAGCCTCCTACCGTCTGAGAGCCAGGACGCTCTGCTATGGGAGCCATCAGGCAGAGAAGAGGGCGAACAAGGTTTTGTTCTGTCTCCAGCCAGCCTGTGCCAGGCTCCTGGTACTTCAGAAGTGTAAAGATCTTTCCAGAACACCACTCTTCATGGTTGCTTTTTTTTTTTTCAACATTAATAATGATACTGAATCCAATGTGCAAAAGTGAGATTTATCTCTCTGGCATAACTCACAAACTAGGAACTTTTCCAAAACAAACACATCTCTGTAAGAAACACTTTGAAGACTACATTCTACGGGTAACCACGGGAATAACATCCGTGTCTAGCTTGAAAATGTTTTTGTTTTGCAACACCCTCAGATGATGAATGAATGGTCACAGTACAAAAAAATTTTATTTAAATTAAATATTTTTGACAAATCAATATCCACAACTGTTCCAAGCATATACAGTTCTGACAAATGGACCAGTTTATAGCTTAGTGTCTGTGATACTGCCTTAGAAGATTATTAATACATGTTCTGAACTGGACACCAGCCAGTCACATCATCAACCACTTACTATTTATTACCAAATAGAATACACAGTAATAACATAAAGATTAGGCATACCTCATAAGCGCGTCTACAAGACTTGGTGGAAGGAAAGAAAGATCCGTCAAGAATACAAAACAGAAGGTGAAAATACTAGGAGAATATATAAAACACACATTTCATACACGCTTGAGGGAGGGTAGGGGGGCAGAGGATCTTTTCTTCTGAGTCACAGTGCATTTCTGTTCGGGCGGCAGCCTGTGGGCCGCACAGCAGGAAACTGTTCCAATGTCTCTGCCGAGGAGTGCCCGAAGGAGCTGCTGGCTCCAGAGGAAAACAGATTTCCCTCCCAGCCAGAAGAATCACGCTTGGGGCCTCTGAATTGAGAACCAAATTCAAGGGCAGATTTGAAAAACAAGGAAAATGAAAGAGAGGAACTTCAGCAGTCAGGAGCCTAGCCAGCCGGGAAGGAAGTTCTTCCTGCATCCACACAGGGGGACACATGCTGTAGTTTTGCTCAAAAAAAGGGACAGAATTAGATGAGAAGAAAGTGGTGTTGCTCTGGGGCAGAGTCCTTTCAGGCTCCTGGCTCTTCTGGGTCGCTGGGGGCTGGGCCAGGATGAGGAGACTATAGATCCGAGTTGGGCTGGCCAGGTGTGTGAGTGTGTGTGTGTCTCTCAGGCCATAAATTCTCTTGAAGTGTGGGGAATAAGAATATATCTAAAGATACATGTTTGGATTCACAAACTGACATTTGGAACCCCTTTGTACAACTACTTAAGGATGATTAAAAATAAGAAAATAAGAAAACCAAAGATGTATTTTTAAAAAAAACCCTCACTTTCATCGATGAAGTTAACCCTACCGGTAAATTCTCTAGGTCGGGATAAGTAGGTTTTATTTTTTGTTTTGGAGGACTCTTTTTAGACATCTAGATTCACGGTGGAAGGAAATGCAGAGAGCACAAAGCCGTGCACGTGGAATTCTCAGCAGGCTGCCGGCCGGTGAGATGAAATTCTCACCCAGCTCATTCAAGACACCTTCCTTTGCCACCCCTGGGAGGACTCTCACTCAGAACCTCCGAGCAGAGGCGGCTTGGCTGTCACTTTCCTGGGGAGCACATGTGGTTGACAAACTCCTTGATCTCACCCTCCCACCCCCACCCCTCCCCCAAGGGCAGCTCCTTTCATCCAGAGACCCAGAGATGCCTTGTGGCTTCATCAAAGACAAAGGTTTCAGTGCCGGGCCACGCTCCTGCTCCTCGGTGTAGGGTGCCACAGAAGGGGCGTTGCTGGATCAGCAGAGCCCGCCCCAGCTTTAGCACAAAGGCTCTGGGGCCGCGGGTCCAAGGCCCCCACCCCCTCCCAGGGGCAGGAGGGCTGTGGTGACATTTCACCGTCTCTGCTCTGCCCTTGCGCGGGGAGCGGCGGGGCCTGCCCACGCCCCGACTCTATGACACGCTGTAGCTGTTGTAGTATGTGGCTGTTGCGTCGGCCAGGACAGAGATGAGGCTGGTCTCTGTGGGGCCTGAGGGAGTCCCCTGGGCGAGGGGTGCGTGCCCGCTGAGGGTCCCCGGTGCCAGGGCGGGGTCGGGGTGGCCAGGAGTGTTCAAGTACTGGTCAAACTCATTTCGATCCATGTCTCCCAGCAGTTCTACCTGGCTCAGCTGGTCCAGGGCGTCGAAGCCAGGGTGCTCAGGGGGCGGGGACAGCTGGCCCAGGGGGGCCTGGAGGCTGGGGTGGAGCGGGTGGTAGGGGGCGGGGGGGTAGTAGGCAGGAGATGGGGGGCATCCGGGTGCGGTGGCCATCATGGCCAGGGGGCCCAGGGGGTGGCTGCACGGGAGGGGACTGGAGGCGAACTCCGGGGGGTAGGGCGACCCGGACAAGGCGGGCATGCGGCGAGGGTGGGCAAGCTCCTCCTGGCAAGGGGAGGAAAAGAAGGTCTGCTCGGGCTCCAGCGCGTCCAGCGGCGACATCTCAGGGGGCGTGGGCAGCCCGTAGGGGTAGATGTCCGCGCTGCCGGGGGGGCCGCCTCCTCCGGCTGGGCCCTCTTGGTAGCAACCCCTGAGGCCGGGCAGAGCGGCGCCCGGGGAGTACTCACCCCGGTCCTCCTTCTCCCCCAGGGGCCCCCCGCTGCCAGAGCTCTTGCCGGGCAGGACGTTCTGGTCTCTGGCGAGGGAGCTCAGGAGGAAGCCGGCGTCCACGCGCTTGCACAGGCGTTTGGCCTGCTTCTTCCTGCGAGGCCGGTACTTGTAGTTGGGGTAGTCCTGCATGTGCTGCAGGCGCAGCCGCTCCGCCTCGTCCACGTATGGCCGCTTCTGCGACAGTGTCAGTGCCTTCCACGACTTTCCTGTTCACACAAGCCAGAGAAGACCACGCTCAGCATCCACGCTACCCGCATGGCCAGCGCCCCTGATGGAGCCTGGCGCTGTCCAGCAATGCGCTCGCCTGGTCTCCTCCCCACTGGCCCAAGTCTCCCTCTCATCATCACAAAGGATGCCGCCAGGATCCCATCCTCCCCAAGTCCTCTCCCCAACCACACCCAGAGTGAAGCCCCGCCGACCCCTCCTGCCTGCAGCCCGCACAGCCACTCTGCACAACACGCAGACACCAAAGCTCATGCCTATAATCCCAGCTCCTTCCGAGGCTGAGATAGGAGGATGACAGTTTGAAGCCAGCCCAGGCAGGAAAGTCTATGGCACTTTTATCTCCAATGAACTACTAAAAGCGCTGGAAGTGGAGCTGTGGCTCAAGTGGTAGAGTGCTAGCCTTGAGCAGAAAAGCTCAGGGACAGTGCGCACATCCTGAGTTCAAGCCCTAGGTCTGGCACAAAACAATAAAAGTAAACAACAAAATGTGCTTACAATCCAGGAGATGGAATGGCTCAGTGTGAGATTCACACAGGAAAGTCCACCTGACTTGTATCGGTACAGGGAAAAATAGAACCACCACAACGTCGATGAGGACTCTTTTTACCTTTCCAGAGTCAATTCTATGCAATCATGAATTTTAATCAAAATTCCCCACCTCTCGGGAAGTGGTACTATCATATTCACTGGTGACAAATCCCACAGCTCTATGTGAGGGACTAGGCTCAGTGGTTAGTTTCATAAGCTCAGGGAAATCACAGGATCTTGCTTAGGTGGAAAATATGACCACTTCTCACTTTTGAAAGTCAAATAGTGTTTTGTTATATAAAGGTCTGAGTGTGGCCAAAATGATACCATATGTGTTCAACACACATATATGAACATATATGCACACACGTGTATATATGCACACATGCACGCCTGTACATGCATACATGAGCTATCACTTCCTGCAGTCTACTTGGGACCCTTTGGTGGTGGTAAAACACCCTTCAGCCATGGACTCTACTCGTGAGCAAATCCCTCAGCTCTCAAGGACCCTGCTCCCCTCAGAGAGCAAGTACATTAAATAATATTTTAATTCAATAGACTAAGGAGATTGCACTGCTACTCAATTTAAAGCTCTCTTTAAGAAGCAACTGCTAGCAGGGGATGGTAGCGCTCACCTGTAATCCCACAACACAGGACAAGAGGCTATCCTGGGCTACATAACAAGACCTTGTATCACAAAATCTGAAAGTAAAAGTATTTACTAAATGGGGTGGGAGGGGGATAAAAGGAGAGATTGGGGGCAAATATGAGGGTCAAACTACATTATGTGCTTGTATAAAAATAGTGTAACGAACTCCACATGCTCATAAAATCGTACAAAACGAAGCATTCCCCATTTGTAACCTGCTGGTGCTGAGATAATGCTTGGACTTGATTTTCTATTAGCTGTTCTTTCCCTGTCATTCTGCGGGTCACCCTGCCATCTCTCTTCCATTGTTAACATACACAGCACACCCCTGGGGTCCAATGTGCTCCAAGGGTCATGCCTGGACCCCTTGCATCGTTACCTCTTTGGGTGGGCATATTTAATGTGATTCCTCCCCCACCTGGACGCTAATGGATCCTGAAATTTGAGGCCCACCCACCAAGAGGACAAGGTCTCTGGCCAAGCCCTGTAAGGAAGGGACCATGTCTTCCATGGGGCACACTCTGCTGTGGTGTGGGGCCCACGCACCCACAACAGCTGGCTGCATGGGTCAGGTCATGAGTCTCTTTATCTCCACCTCACCACCAAAAAGCAGGAGTGGAGCTGTGGCTCCAAGTGGGAGAGTTCCAGCCTTGAGTGAAAAGGCTAAGGGACAGCGCTAAGGTCCTGAATTCAAGATCCAGTGATGGCAAAAGAAAAGAAAAAGAAAGACGGAAACAAAAAAGAAGGAAGGAAGGAAGGAAGGAAGGAAGCAAGCTAGGTAAGGGCTCGTGAATGGAAAATATTAAAGGTGTTCTGCCACTTTCGGGAAAGTTCAGAATGAGTCTGTGAAGTTAAGTACTGTAACTGGCTTTCATTTAAAAAGGTAAGTTGGAGAGTGTTACAAATCCCAAATTCAGGGCTAAACATGGGTTCTTGGCTTGTGGCTGAAGCCACAAAGCTCTGGCAAGATGCTCGTGATCCAGGCTTACCGTACATTCTGACTGTGGCTGAACATCAAATCTAGCTGTCGTTTCTAAAGGCACCTGGATTACTGTAAAATACAGTAATATAAAATAAATGTGTTCAAATGTTTTGTTGTCTTGACACACTTTCTCATTCATAATGTACTAACATATGACAGCCATCAGGGGTGAGTTTTGGTGTCCAGGTTTACAGAGCTCATGGTGAAAATAGTTGAACTCCCACATCCAGCTCTTCCTCCACAGACGGGGAAGAAAGACCGCACCATGAAGGGGCTGTCTGCTGCGGCAGGTTAACAGGTGCCAAGCGTCCATGTTTGACCCCGCACTGCTCAGGTTCTTTTTCCTCAGTGCCAGGGTCTGTGGAAGGAATCTAATACTTTCTGTTCTGTGAACAGTGCTCTGTCTTGCAGCTCTAGGCAATTCTCGGAGAAGGCTCAACGGGCAGGAGGTCTTTATCCCCTAAGTCCCTGTGTTTGCCCTTTCCCTGATGGGCAGTCTGGATTCTGGGGGGACGAGACTCTCAGCTTTCAGTCCCCGACACACACACACACCTGCACCTACAATAGGAATGAGGTCACAGGAGGACTTTCTGCCCCAGCCATGGTGGCTTCCTGCAGCCCAGGAAGAAAAAGAAAATTCTGGATTCACCCAAAAATGTTTCCTTAAGGTTTTCTAACGTGTGAAGAAAAATAGGAACCTTTAGGCCAAAGAAAAAAATATTATTGGCTCCATCAACACCATACAAATACACATTTTACCCTTTTGTACAGCGGGGCCCAGGACCGCACAGGCCACAGATACATCCTGGGAAGCGCAAGCCCCGAAGCTGGGCTGCGGGCCGGGGTGGGGGGTGGGGGCTCGGCCACAGCCTTCCCCCCGCCGGCCTGGGGTCCGGGCCTTCCCTCCAGGCCTGCACGAAGGCAGGGGAAGGCGCCTGCGGAGCCCCGTGGGCGAAAACGAACAATACTGACACGAAGCCCACGGAAGGGCAACGCTATGGGCGAAGGCGGGACGGGAACGGGAGGAGAAATCCCGGCAAAACCTCGGGTTTTCCAGACGTGTCCTAACCCCGTGCTGGCCAGTTCCTGGCCCCGTCCCCGTGCTGGCCTGTTCCAGGTCCCGGCCCTGGCCCCGTCCCCGTGCTGGCCTGTTCCTGTTCCTGGCCCCCACCCCGGCCCCGGCCCCGGCCCGTCCCTGTGCCGGCCCTGTCCCCGTGCCGGCCTGTCCCTGTCCCCGGCCCCGTTCCCGTCCCCGTGCCGGCGGGCACAGGCTCGGCTCTGGCCTGGGCCTGCGCCCCGCGACCCAGCTATCTGCCCCGGTTCTCGGACAAGCGTCATCGAGCGGGAGCGGGATCCGCGGCGGCGTGGGGCTTATGTCCGAAACCGTTCCGGGGCCACAGTCTTCCTCCGGTCTCCGTCGCACGCTGCGGGCGCCCGAGGCTCTTCCCGCTTCCCCGCCAGGGCGGCGCGGGGCTCCACGTCCCCGTCTGGTCCCGGCGGCCCCAAGGGCCTCCGCCCCGAGCCGGGGTCGGGAAGGGGCCGCGCTTTCCCTCCGA